TTCAACTCCTCAACCAGCCATTATTTGTTTTTGAACTCAAAAAACACAGCTCAACCTCTAGTCTGGGGAGTGGACACAATCAGTAAACCCAGTCGTGGCTATCCGCTAGGACGTACATTGGCAAATGTAGAGCCAAGTCGACAAATTGATTGGAAAAATAAAAAAGGTACGATTGAGCACACCGAGCCAGCCAACTTGGGCAACATAACGGAACTAAAGTCGGGCACTTATCAAATATTAGTTGATAATGTTGAGATTGTCAGTACATATCTCAAAGTTGGTGGCATTTACACGATTTTAATAAACGAAGATTCATCAGGCCAATACCGCAATAATGTCATAGTTGTAACGGAGCCCAATTCGATGTCCATTTTCTGGTTGATTCCGCAATACGTTATTATGACACTCGGTGAGGTGATGTTCTCCGTGACTGGCCTGGAGTTTTCATATGCACAGGCGCCACTAACAATGAAATCAGTATTGCAAGCTTGCTGGCTACTTACGGTGGCATTCGGAAATGTAATCGTCATAATTATCGCCGAACTATCGCTCTTCGATTCACAAGCGTATGAGTTCTTCCTATTTGCCGGCCTTATGTTTATTGATATGATTGTTTTCATGTTTGTGGCTTATCGGTACAAACCGAACACTTTGGCGCTGAATAGTGAAACTGAGCCGTTGACGCCACCAGAAAAAAATGAAAAAGATGGCATTGATAATGTGGCCAAAGCTATTGATGAGTAGATACGATGGTGAAAAAAGAAGATTGATTAGTAGTCAAATGTACAAATAAGTGTGTAATTTGTAGTGAACATTAATGTTAATTAATAATGTTTTGTACTTAATCAGTTTGTAAGTTTAAGTACCATAATTAAAAAGTATTACAATAACTACTGTAAACCTAAACAATAAATGAAGTGTATAAATAAATGATATAGCTTTGGTAAAAAAGCTGAGGTAATGTTGTTGAAAAATTGAAGTTACATATGTGCTCATACATCCTTATATATCTTAATATAGAGAGGCCCTATCTCACATCGTCGCACAGTGGTCTGAATGGAGAACACTGTGCGATACTAAAAAAATACCTGGGAAGTTATGTATATTTTCTGTTAGGTCTTTTCGGTTTATTGCAGTAAGGCCCGCGGAAATAACGCCTATTGGCTTTTTTCCCAAAAAGAAGAGATAAAGCCCATGAGGGTTATTGCCGGTGACAGGTAAAAAGATCAACGGAAATAAGGTCAGTTGACTTTATTTCCCACCCTGATGCGAAATAACGCCAATTGACATTATTACCTTTTCAAAAGCGAAATAAAGTCAACAAAAAAATGGAAATAAAGTCATTGACGCTATTTCCTCATTCCAATGCATAAAGCTTGTCGATTCATAGAAAAAAATGTTGTTCTTGCAATAAACATTGCCACGTAAGTGTTGTTTTTTAATAGATGAAAACGGTTATTGCCAAATCCTCAGTGTGGTGCTATTAAGTTAATTGTTTTTATTAAAAAATTTAAAATTACGAATATAGTAAAAACACGAAGCGAAAAACCAAACGCAAAACGCATCTGGAATACGAGAAATATTTGAAGAAAGAGTGTAGAAATGATCCAGAACTTGCAAAACATGTTTCGTTTCCACAAAAATAAAGCGAACACTATTAAATTGAAGAAACAGTCCATGTCCGAAAACCCCGGAGGAACACTGAAAGTATTCTGTGTTTTACAGTAGCATATTTTGAACGAATTCGGAATGTCTAAGGTGGTAAAGAAACCAACCAACCAAAAGTCGGCGTAGCGTGATAGGGTGTGGCGCGCCGGGTACGCGGCTAAGCAAATTTAATGTTTGAATGAGCAATAATGTCAATGGATTTTATTTCGCTTTTGAAAAGGTAATAATGTCAATTGAATTTATTTCGCACCAGGGTGGGAAATAAAGCCAATTGACCTTATTTCCGTTGGTCTTATTACCTGTCACCGTTATTTCCATTTCGAAGGGAAAATAGCGCCCACCAATAAAGGGCAATAAAGCCCGCGGGCTCTATTTCCTTTGCGAAAGAGCAATAATGGCAAAAATTCCATGAAAAGGAAATAAAGTCCGTGAGTAGTATTTTCTCTGACTTCATTTTACTGAAACTTTCTAAATATGTAGATATACAGGCATACACTTGCGTAAAATGGAACGAATTTAAACGAATTGCTCCCTATTTTTGCATAGAGTGTAGTTCTGCGTTAACTTCCCTTCTGCAGTATACGCATAAAATCGAATGGTATTTTTGCCAATAACTGATAAGCGAATTATTGGAAATTAAAGGTGAATTGTTACTTTTTTGTAGCCTCCAATGCGATGCGCATATTTGTTCTTAGCGTATTAGATTTTTTGGCGCAAACGCCAAAAGGGTTAGAGGGGTGCCCGGCCCATATTTTTTTTTTTGAAAGCAGATGAAAGTTGGCCGTTATAAGTGGAACAAAAGTAGTCTATTGTAGTAGATGACCTACGAAATTCCCCACAGGGTATATGTACATGTATATACATAGAGCACTAACCGCTAAAACAACGTAAGCGACATTTTTTTCAAAATTTTTGTTTTGATGCGGAAATGCATCTAGATGCTCTAGGAATATTTCTGAATCAAAAAGAAACTTTTGGAAAAAAATGTCACTTACGTTATTGGTGGTTAGGGCTCCTTGTTTAAAAAATTACTCACACACAGTCTTATTTACACTATACTTCAATGCGAAAATGTCGGCTGAAAATCGAAAAAGTTTGAAGTCGATTTTGAACTTCACGTATTATCGTTGCCGAGACTCAAAAATTAAATTTGCCAAAATTGTCCAGAAAATCAAGCAAATCTTGAAAAAATTAAGCAAAATATTTTAACTGATATTTTCTCAAGATATTTTCATTTTAAGTTTGTACTGTCCTTCAAGCGAATTATCCATTACACTAGTGTACAAAAAAAACGGCATATGCATTACTTTTCGATGGGCTTAGTAGTTTCTGAGAAATTTATTAATCATTCCAAATTTTGTTAATCAAAAATTTGTTTCTTTTATATTAAAGTTTGTTCTTTTATAAAAAGAAAAATCAATTAGCTAAAGATGTATAAATAAATAAGTTGTGAAAGGAAAAATTTTTTTGTATGAAATACGAGCAGGAAACAATGTTACTTACGCGTCATACACGTCCATACGTACATACATACATGGCGCAATGATTCTATTGTATGAGCATGGCGTATGAGTAACATTCTTCCCTACTCGTATTTCATACAAAATTAATAATATAAAAAAACTTTTTAATATACAACGCTTTTATAAATGGACTAAAAAGTAGAAAATAATATTTCTCAGTCCCATAGAATTTGTTTTGATAACTTTTGATTTTGAAATTTTAGCAAAAGTCATTATAAACAATCTATGAAATTGAAAATGAAAAACGTGGAGCGCATGCAATACAAAGCATTCGATTTAATTG